TCCTTGTATTTGTTATCGGGAACAAACGTGAAGTATACGGTGTTCTTGTGAGAACCCATGTGTCAAAGAGACCATGACATAATAAGCTGAAACTGCTTCAAGGTTATGCTACAACAAATCACAATCAACTTCCAGTGTAGACTGAATGTTCTGCCATCAGTGATTAGGTGTAAGACTGCTGTGTTTTAAAGGTACACCCATCTAGGAATAATATTTAAATCAGTTGTTTTCAACGTGATGAATGTGATCACAGATATTTTATAAGAGGTGGCATTGTGTGAGGAAATGGGGTTGATATGTTTAGTTTCCTGTACTCGGAAAAAGAGCTGGTTGAGCTTGCCACTCATTTTGTTTGTGTTGTCGCCTCGGTGGCAGGTTCTATGTAACACATATGTAGGGCTAAATACTGTGGGGTAACAGTTCCTGCTGGTCATAAATACGTCAAAATACTCACACATTTCAGTTTCCTTTGTAATTTGTTTCAACCGTTACTGCCAAGATGGGAAAATGTTATAAGAAGTAATAATGTAAAATTCGGTTTTTACAGTGGCATTTTAGACACTGCTGAGTAAAAGTAAAGCACCTAACTTCATGGATGACAAAATCTGTATTCAGATTTGTATGTAGCAGGTATATGAAGTATGTGCTGTGATGACATGTATCAGGTATATGTAGTGTGTGCTGTGGTGACGTGTATCAGGTATATGTAGTGTGTGCCGTGGTGACGTGTATCAGGTATATGTAGTGTGTGCTGTGATGACATGTATCAGGTATATGTAGTGTGCGCTGTGGTGACGTGTATCAGGTATATGTAGTGTGTGTTGTGGTGACATGTATCAGGTATATGTAGTGTGTGCTGTGATGACATGTATCAGGTATATGTAGTGTGTGCTGTGATGACATGTATCAGGTATATGTAGTGTGTGCTGTGATGTCATGTATCAGGTATATGTAGTGTGTGCTGTGATGCCATGTATCAGATATAAGTAGTGTGTGCTGTGGTGACGTGTATCAGGTATATGTAGTGTGTGCTGTGATGCCATGTATCAGGTATAAGTAGTGTGTGCTGTGATGAAGTGTATCAGGTATATGTAGTGTGTGCTGTGATGTCATGTGTCAGGTATATGTAGTGTTTGCTGTGATGACATGTATCAGGTATATGTAGTGTGTGCTGTGATGTCATGTATGAGGTATATGTAGTGTGTGCTGTGATGTCATGTATCAGGTATATGTAGTGTGTTCTGTGATGTCATGTGTTAGGTATATATAGTGTGTGCTGTGATGTCATGTATCAGGTATATGAAGTGCGTACTGTGATGTCATGTATCAGGTATATGTAGTGTGTGCTGTGATGTCATGTATCAGGTATATGTAGTGTGTGCTGTGATGTCATGTGTTAGGTATATATAGTGTGTGCTGTGATGACATGTGTCAGTTATATGTAGTGTGTGCTGTGATGTCATGTGTCAGGTATATATAGCGTGTACTGTGATGACATGTATCAGTTGTATGTAGTGTGTGCTGTGATGTCATGTATTAGGTATATGTAGTGTGTGCTGTGATGTCATGTATCAGGTATATGTAGTGTGTGCTGTGATGTCATGTATCAGGTATATGAAGTGCGTGCTGTGATGTCATGTATCAGGTATATGTAGTGTGTGCTGTGATGTCATGTATCAGGTATATGTAGTGTGTGCTGTGATGACATGTATCAGGTATATGTAGTGTGCGCTGTGGTGACGTGTATCAGGTATATGTAGTGTGTGCTGTGGTGACATGTATCAGGTATATGTAGTGTGTGCTGTGATGACATGTATCAGGTATATGTAGTGTGTGCTGTGATGACATGTATCAGGTATATGTAGTGTGTGCTGTGATGTCATGTATCAGGTATATGTAGTGTGTGCTGTGATGCCATGTATCAGATATAAGTAGTGTGTGCTGTGGTGACGTGTATCAGGTATATGTAGTGTGTGCTGTGATGCCATGTATCAGGTATAAGTAGTGTGTGCTGTGATGAAGTGTATCAGGTATATGTAGTGTGTGCTGTGATGTCATGTGTCAGGTATATGTAGTGTTTGCTGTGATGACATGTATCAGGTATATGTAGTGTGTGCTGTGATGTCATGTATGAGGTATATGTAGTGTGTGCTGTGATGTCATGTATCAGGTATATGTAGTGTGTTCTGTGATGTCATGTGTTAGGTATATATAGTGTGTGCTGTGATGTCATGTATCAGGTATATGAAGTGCGTACTGTGATGTCATGTATCAGGTATATGTAGTGTGTGCTGTGATGTCATGTATCAGGTATATGTAGTGTGTGCTGTGATGTCATGTGTTAGGTATATATAGTGTGTGCTGTGATGACATGTGTCAGTTATATGTAGTGTGTGCTGTGATGTCATGTGTCAGGTATATATAGCGTGTACTGTGATGACATGTATCAGTTGTATGTAGTGTGTGCTGTGATGTCATGTATTAGGTATATGTAGTGTGTGCTGTGATGTCATGTATCAGGTATATGTAGTGTGTGCTGTGATGTCATGTATCAGGTATATGAAGTGCGTGCTGTGATGTCATGTATCAGGTATATGTAGTGTGTGCTGTGATGTCATGTATCAGGTATATGTAGTGTGTGCTGTGATGTCATGTATCAGGTATATGTAGTGTGTGCTGTGATGTCATGTATCAGTTATATGTAGTGTGTGCTGTGATGTCATGTATGAGGTATATGTAGTGTGTGCTGTGAAGTCATGTATCAGGTATATGTAGCGTGTACTGTGATGACATGTATCAAGTATATGTAGTGTGTGCTGTGATGACATGTATCAGGTATATGTAGTGTGTTTTGTGATGTCATGTATGAGGTATATGTAGTGTGTGCTGTGATGACATGTATCAGGTATATGTAGTATGTGTTGTGATATCATGTATCAGGTATATGTAGCATGTGCTGTGATGATGTGTATCAGGTATATGTAGTGTGTGCTGTTATGTCATGTATCAGGTATATGTAGTGTGTGCTGTGATGACATTTATCAGGTATATTTAGTGTGTGCGGTGATGTCATGTATCAGGTATATGTAGTGTGTGCTGATAAGACGTTTGTCAGGTGTATATATATATATATACTGTCGAGGAGTATCCACTATACCAAACATGTAGTCTTTACGAAGTGTGTTTTGTGATGAAGTGTTAATGTTGCTATGGTTGTTTATGTACGAGTGGATGGTCTTGAGACAAAAGCGTCATATTTCCTTCCTCACCCCATCCATCTCACTGACTCAAGATGACACACGCTGACAAAATCGACTCTGGATCAGGTCTGCTCCTTTTTTCCTTATTCCGATAGAATCAAAATATGACATCGATAGCTTCCTCACTTGCGTGTAAAGCCAGTCTATTTATCACCGCGGTCTACATGGTGAAACATCTCCCCTCAATGGCGGCCCGTCGTGTCCCCACCCCCAAGCATTGTATATTACTTCCCTGACAACTTCTCGCTTGCTCCTCCACCCCTCGCAGCGCTCAGTCGGCTCAATGAGGTCTCTCATGCATTCACTTAAGGCTAGTCGTGTGGCAAATGTTACATAATACATAATTTGAAATTAATTTATAGTAAAGTGTTTGACTAATGCAAACAGTTGAACTGACATTGTCAACATTCAAAGGCCAGTGGAAGCACACAGGGGTATCGACCCTTAAAATATACTCTTGTTCATTTATTGAATGACATCAAAACGCTTTTAAACAACTATCACGTTGGAAGGAAGGGGTGCCTCACACAGAAAATGTTGTAGTGTTCGCAGAAACTGCAGCTTTGTAAAGATGACATCGATTATTAGCTAAATAATCAATAATCATTTCATCATGGCTGGTTCAGCGTCGCAATCAGTAATTGATATTCTGTCATTTAGTTTATTAATGACATCGTTTAAAAAGTCAAGTAGCACATGCACCGGGTTACACCGCCACCTTACACAGTCCCGACACGAGACGACTCAGCCCTTACCTCTCAAGTGTGAAATGAACAATCAATAAATGTCTCTTTGTTTGATTTTTTATTGCATGAAACATCAATGTAAAATGAAGAATATTAGAAACAGCATTAAATATGCTTTGGGGTAAAGATAATATAATGGTAACATGAATACAACCCATGCAACGCCCAGCACCAGCAGGCTTCAATGCACGGTATAGACAATCTGGACGTTCTAGTACTTTGTGACAGCACACTTAGTGTTCAGAGTACAGTCATTCGAACAAAGGGGACATCAGAAGAGCACTCTGGAACTTGTGACAGTGTATTTAGTGTTCATAGCACAGTCAGTCGAACAGGGGGAGTCAAAAGAACGCTCTAGCACTTGTGACAGTATATTAAGTGGTCGTAGCAGTGACGTCACATTAAGTGTTCGTAAAAACCCACAAAACAACAGTTATTCGAATAAACAGACATCTGATCAAAGCTGGGATTCAGAACATTAGGACAGCTCTGTCACACAGAACATAAGAACAGCTCTGTCACACAGAACAGGCCTCATATCAGGTCGACGCCGAGACGTGTCGTCACTGGGCACGTCATTGGTCGCGCCAACCTCCTCTACAGATGGCCACATGAACACAACACGCATCTCTTGTTTTCACAAAGTTCAGCCGTGTAACCTATCTGTCCAAGCTTCACTTCATACACAGCCATCGTTGGTCAGCTCGGGGGACATTCATCCTCGGTTCTCCGGGAACACAGTGGACCCTGTTGGTGTTGGGAGCTGACTCACGTGTTGTTGGAGCCCGTGGATGAACATCCGGGGTAGTGAGGGCCTCTGTGCCTGCGTAAAGGCTGACTCTCCGTGGCGGAAGTAGAATGCGTCTATGTTAGAGAGGATGGACGCAGCCTGGGGATGATACGTGAACCAGTAGGGGTTGGTCTGGAGCATGCGCTGTACGGCGGCATAGTTGCCAGCTTCCGCCAAGAGTTCCAGACCGACGGCTGTCTGTCGCTTCCACTTGGTTCTGGAATAGAGGGACAATGTGAGTTTCATATTACGTGGTGAATGTCTGGGAGGGAGCCTCTGATTAGTCATTGTCATATAGGGCGTCATTGATAAGTGACTGTTATGCTAGGTAAGATCCGACGTCGGCATGCTACAAGTGTATTCCAAGTTGTTGAAGTTCGGGAAAACTAGAGATTACTGTAGACCCGTGTTCCCGGAGACGCAGCAGTTAGCTTGTATGGGGGGTATATCATATTAAACCCAGTCACATAATTGAATGCATCCTATTCCTTGGGATTAGCCATTGAGAACACCCACCCTTATCGGATGTAATTGAATCCCGGGAATAAAATGAATATATTAGATCTATCTCCAGCGCCGTGACATGCGGGCAACTATTGTCGCCAGCAGCATACAACGGCGGCACTGTGCTACAGGTGGTAATCTATATTAAATTAGTTCGGACAGAAGCCTCCACGGATTCACGCACCAAACTGATAGCAACATATGAAAATACTGGGAAAAACTCGTGGTCACGAACACCTGGACAAGTAGTAGTAGTAGTAGTAGTAGTAGTAGTAGTAGTAGTAGTAGTAGTAGTAGTAGTAGAAGCAGTAGCAGCAGAAACAGCAGTAGTAGTAATAGTACCAGCAGCAGCCATGATTACATGATGACCTTTAGAGAGCAGACAGCTTCAAAAGAGAGGGGCTTTCCATTTTTGTCTGACATGTTTTTAGGAATACTTTCTCTAGGAATGCCTACTTCTCCAGATTTTGGGCAAACAAAAGAAGGATGTTCACGACGAATAGTGTAGCGTGACATCGCTCTTACTTCTATATGTTGGAACTAGTCATCAGTGCGGGCATCAGACAATGGACAAGCGCAGTACAAGAGTCCGTTAGATCAGTCGTTATGCTGACATGTCATGGCTGACGGTGCAAAAACAGCCAGAAACGTTCTTCTGTCGTGCCTTGCTTTTTTATCAAGTTCAATCAGTATATAAGAAGTTAACACAAACTGCCATCTTTTAAACTCCCTTATAGCGCTGCTGTCCCGCGTTCTTCTGCGCACCCCACACTCTACCGCACATATCTATCACTGTACGCGCCACACACCCAAGTACCTCAACGTACGGCACGACTCTTTAATCCTTTTCATAATATTGTTGTCAAAATTGACAGTGTTTATAGGATTCTAAACGAGACCAGTGAATCGAGTAACGACGAAATTTGTTTGCGTTTTAGTCAAATAGCTGGAAGTCACCCCATCCCCATCACGGCGATAGGGCCATTGTCCGGGGCCTTGGGACCACGGCGAGTTCTGCCTGACGGCGCATGGTGTCGCCCCCCTGGAGAGAGTAGGTTCGTTCTGAGTGAAACTTTGACGCTCGTGACAACACTGTGAATGACGTTCTTTATTCCCGCAGCTTGTGTTAGTGCGAAATGAGTAACTCTCCTTTGACAGAGGCGTCAAGAGCACACCGTCATAGCTGGTTGTAGCAACACGGCAGTACAGGCGGCTTCTCACGGCCCTGACGGAGCGGTTCTGTGGGTGGCGCTGCGGCGAGGTACATTGCGATGCTGTACATTCCTATTTTATGATTTCGTTTTGAGTTGTAAAATAAACACTCTGTGGATGTCCGGTATAATATTGTCGCCAGTAAACACGTTTACAACGTTTCCATTTAAAATATTGTCTAAAGGTTCAAGTAGAGGAACTGCAGTAGCCTTTTACCTCTGAAGTACATGAGAAAATTATCATTTTACTCAATATTTAGACTTGAGTAGGAAGCGGTCATGTTTCCTTACTGGGTGGAAGGTGCTATATATATCGGATGTAGGAGGCAAACAATATGCAAGAAGGGGTCGACCAGATACAAGACAAGCATTAGGGTGCCTTTGACCTCGCACTCCCCACTGTAACAAATGACCCGTCTCTTTCACACGCCGCGCTTTCTGACCGACCTGTGTTTAGTGTGGTTATTACTAGGGCATTGACGGCTGTACTAGTCGCCCCTTGAAATAACAATAGATTGATGTTCTGACACTCTGTCCTTCACGGTGAGGTCCAAACCCCTGTATTCCCTGTGAGAGCTGCAGCTGCTACAGGGGTGCCGTTACTGCAGGACAAATACGTCATCGCAGTACTTCACTGGCAGCCAAGGGGCTGGCAGGTACCATCTCTGCTGACTTTACAACATGGAGGCCAGAAAGACAGGGGGAAGTTTGGGTTTTCAGTGACATGGGTTTGTCTTCGGGTTGCTTGAAGGGTTTCTATAAAAAATATCTAGGCAGATGTAGGGTGTGGAACCCCTCGCCAGGTCAGGGAGTGCGAATCTTTGAGCTTACTGAGTAGGCGAATGCAACATATCAGTTCCACAGTGCGAGTAAGATTGCCCTGAGCTGAGATATGTCTTGCCCTCGGTCAGAATGAGAGTACTTTAAGCTGAGATATGTCTCGCCCACAGACACAGTGAGAGTGTTCTGAGCTGAGATATGTCTCGTCCTCATTCACAGTGTGTGTTCTAAGCTGAGATATGTCTCGTCCACAGTCACAGTGAGAGTGTTCTAAGCTGATATATGTGTCTCCCACAGGGGGAATGGGGGCCTTTAAGCTGAGATATGTCTCGTACACAGTCACAGTGAGAGAACTCTGAACTTTGTCTCACCTTCTGTTCTGGTACCACGTCTTCACCTGGGTGTCCGTGAGGTTGAGTTTGGCCGCCAGTTCCATCCTGTCCTGGACACTGAGGTATTTCTGTCTCTCGAAACTTTTCTCCAGACAGCTCAGCTGGTGGTCAGTGAAGGCCGTGCGGGCCTTGCGGGGCTTCTTGGACTTTATCATGAGGGGGTCAGTTTCATCACCATCGTCGACGTCATCCTCGTCGTCTGGAAAACAAAGCAGTTATTTCAACGTGAGGAACATACTTCTATGTCCTTACAAATCAAATATCTCTCAGTTTCACAACCTCAATATCATAATGATAATACCTCCATTTCACAGTACAGAACATAACGTATTATTACAAACATAACCTCCATTTTAAAGAATAGAATGTACCTATGTTATACAGAAACACACCTTCATCTCATCGTACAAACCACAACATAGAGATACCTTCATTTCACCGCAGAGATATTACATCTGTATTATTTAACATATTCTCCATTTCACAATGAAGAACATACCTTTAAATGACTAAAATATGTACTTACAGAACATATTTCCTTAGTCTTTTTGAGTTATATCTACATTTCACAGTATAGCAGTTACATCTATAAAATTATAAAATATACATCATTTTACAGTGTAGAAAATATACCTCGTTTTAGTATTGAAATTACATATATATTACTATAAAATATACCTCCATTTCATTGTGTAGTAATTACATCTATATTATTATAGAATATACCTCATTTCATTGTATAGTAATTACATCTGTATTATTATAGAATATACCGCATTTCATTGTATAGTAATTACATCTGTATTATTATAGAATATACCTCATTTCATTGTATAGTAATTACATCTGTATTATTATAGAATATACCTCATTTCATTGTATAGTAATTACATCTGTATTATTATAGAATATACCTCATTTCATTGTATAGTACTTACATCTGTATTATTATGGAATATACCTCATTTCATTGTATAGTAATTACATCTGTATTATTATAGAATATACCTCATTTCATTGTATAGTAATTACATCTGTGTTATTATAGAATATACCTCATTTCATTGTATAGTAATTACATCTGTATTATTATAGAATATACCTCATTTCATTGTATAGTAATTACATCTGTATTATTATAGAATATACCTCATTTCATTGTATAGTAATTACATCTGTATTATTATAGAATATACCTCATTTCATTTTATAGTAATTACATCTGTGTTATTATAGAATAGACCTCATGTCATTGTATAGTAATTACATCTATCTTATTATAGAATATAGCTCATTTCATTGTATAGAAATTACATCTATATTAATATAAAAATATATATAATTTTAGAATAGAAATTACATGTATATTGTTATACAAAATCTATATTATTATAAAACATACCTCCATTTCACAGTATATAAATTACATATATGAATTATAATAAAACTCATTTCACTGTTTAGAATTTCTATATGTATTATTATATAATATACCTCCGTTTCACAGTATATAAATTACATATATACATTATAATATAACTCATTTCACTGTTTAGAATTTCTATATGTATTATTATATAATATAACTCCGTTTCACAGTATATAAATTACATCTAGGCTATTATAAACATACCTCATTTCACAATATTCAAATATTACCACATAATATGCCTCCATTTCACAGAATAGGAATTACATATATATTATTGTCATAAAATATACTTTATTTCACAATATAGAAATTAGATATATCTTATTATAGAATATACCTCAATGTCAGAGTATAGAATTTCATCTATATTATTACAAAAAAACACCTCCATTTTACGGAATAGAATGTAGCTCTATTTTATTGTAAAATATACCTCCCTTTCACCGTAGAGAACATACATCGACATCATTGAAAGAGATATACCTCTATGTCATTATGCAAAATACAGCTCCATTTCAGAACTTATTTCTAAAACATTACAGCATTATCTTTCCAATTTACTACATGGATAGAAGTTAAGTATTGAGTTCATCTAAGAATACACATGAAGGTAAGAAATCTCTTTGAAAATCCAGATAACAATTCAATTAATTACATAACAACCTAGGAACGCACACGCACACACACACACACACATACATACATACATACATACATATATACATATACATACATTAAAACAACTCTTTCAATTTCTTATATACCATAAATCAACTTTCTTTCGACCGTCAGATTATTTTCCCCGTTAAGTAACTGACACAGGGTAACTGGATAGTACTAATTTGTAAATGGCATGTAATACTCGTCATGTTTTAATTCGTAACTGTTATTGCGGAAGTTTTGTGGCTATTACAAATGTTGCAGAGTTAATTAGGAAGTTGCACACTCTTGGCGAGAACGGTCAACTGTAGTCAGCCGACGGATATTCGCCCCCACGATCTGGGATCAGGTAGCTGTTGACAGCTAGTTTAGTTAATCACGAGCTGTGAAGGATGAGATTTGTTTTAATAATCACGTATTGAGAGGGGCACTGTGTGATCTGTGTCCCAGACCTTCATCAAACACACCTGCATCACCAGCTGATCAACTCATTCTTTGTTATTAACTCTTATGCAAAGGTTTCAAAGTATTTTAATGAGTAAATAAGGTATCTGTTCTGCAAACAAATGTTCAGAGATGTTACGGTTGGTTGTAGTAGTAATGATTATTACGTATTTAAATTCGTTAATTGACAAAATATTATTAATCATTCATCCGTAGTGGTCGGTTAGATATGTGTGTGTCAAGCTTGGGAGCATTTGACCTCCGTGCAAGGATAGAAGTTGACTCTTCTCGCTTATGAAGGTTTACACAATTTACACAAACGGACAGATGAATATAGTATATACATATATCCATATTAAAGAAAATTATATTCCTAGGATTGGCACACCAATCCTTTTCTTCTCGTGATTTGTTGGCAGTTTCTTTACAGCACATTTTAGTCCCAAATATAATGTATGTTGTTTACAGCTTGTTTACAGCATTTTTGTTATCCCAAATATAATGTATGTTGTTTTACAGCATATTTTATTCCCAACTATAATGTATGTTGTTTACAGCTTGTTTACAGCATATTTTAGTCCCAAATATAATGTATGTTGTTTACAGCTTGTTTACAGCATATTTTAGTCCCAAATATAATGTATGCTGTTTACAGCTTGTTTACAGCATATTTTAGTCTCAAATATATGTTATGTATGTTGTTGTTTTTACAGCTTGTTTACAGCATATTTGAATCCCCAAAATTATATATTTTGTTTACAGACAGCCTGCTGTGTTCCCAGGGGGTTACAACTTACAAGCCTTCAGTTTGCACCCTCGCCACCGGTCAGTCCGTGACTGGCCAAAAGCCACATGGACCAGGACAGGCTGACACGAGGGGTGGACTTCTGTATAGCCATAACAGTATTAAAACATTGTGCGCTTTGAGCAGGATATCTCGCCTCGACAAGGGTGTTATACATATTGTCATTATTATTAAAACACATTCAACTCGGTCAAGTTGAATTTTGTGCAAAGTGATTGATTTACCATGCTAAATTTCATTTAAGTATAAAATTATAAAAGATTTCTAAGACACTTTCAAAGTGGAATGATCCAATTTCGGATCCCAACATAAAAATTTAGAGTGTTTATTGGTTAATAGTCTTTTGCAGAAATGAAATATATATTTATTTTTCGGAAATCATGACAAAATTTCTTTCATGTTAATTAATATTTATAATTATATTTTCTTTGTTGAATAGTAATAATTAATATACTTTAGAAAATTGTCAATATACGAATATTTGCAGGAATATATTTGTTAGAGACAATTACAATATTTCCTTTATGTGGAATCACTGAATAGTAGTTTGTGCTTTGACATTAAACATACAGCCAGCAAAACAGTTTCTGTATGATAGTAAATGTTAACGGTTGTTTAATGGGACGTTTGAAGAAAAAGTCCGTAAAAGTTTCTCTGCGAGTATTATTGTATCAAAGCATATGGTGAACTATTTATTCATTGTTTTGTCACAATGTGCATTGACAAATATTTGAAATGTTGCAGATATTTCCTTAAAGACCTGATCTATGTTGTCAAGTAATCCTGGAAATTATTGAAGTCAGATATGTAAGTATGGTATAGAGTGAAATAAGGGTGGGTTGAAAATGATTTATATATGTATGTTATAGATGGAAATATAGGTTGTGGTGAACAAACGTTATATATGTATGATGTAGAAAGAAATAAAGGGGGTGTTAAAATGAGTTATATTTAAGTGGTATAGATGGAAATATAGAATGTGTAAAACAGGAGTTATATAGGTATTAGGAGTTATACAACACACTCAGGTTGGTGGGTGTCGCCGGGGTATGACACACAGGGACATGCGGTGTTATAATAGTACCAATGTGCATACCATTAACTTTTCATGTTACATTTCTGATTGTCCATGTTGATTAATAATCAGTGTTTACACGGTTTAACAAGATTCAGCCACATATATACTGTTAAATGTTAAAAATTCATTGACACTCACCACTGTCGCTTAGCGATGTGTCCGCTTTCTTGTAGAGGGGAGAGCGAGACCGCGATCTGTCTGAAAGATGTCCAGCGTTTCTGGCATTATCTGACAAGTGCCCGAGTCTAGATGTGTCGGGCAGGTGCCCGATTCTAGATGTGTCGGATAGGTGCCCAAGTAAGTTACTGTCAGTTATGTGGCCAAACGCCCTAGCACTAACGGGCGTTGTGTCCCTACCTCGCACATCCCTTGATAGTCTGTCAGACAAGTTGGTGCCTCTCTGCCCAAGAATGTCTGTTATTAGGAAGGACGGTCGTGGCAAAACTTTTACAGTTGGTTTGATAGAAGTATGGCATTGCGTTGAATTTGGTGACGAACGGTCGTTGCCGCTCTTGTGGTCGATGTTGCTGCTGTGTTCGATGTTGCTGTTGCTGTCACTGTCACAAACTCTGCTCTCTGTCACATCAATGTCTGAGCCCCCATCCGACAACTCCGCGTCTGAATCCAAGGGTACCCGTCTCTCTTCCTCCTCCCGCAGTGGAGATGCCGCTCCTTTCTCCATCATCAGCTGTAGAGATGAACTTTGAGAGTTACTGTTGCATGTCTTGATAATAAACAAACTTCAGATGTCTGAAACAGTGTCGGGGAATCTGACAACAAGACGTCAGATATCGGGTAATATCGTGAGTCGGTCCACTCTCTCACTGATCAGCAAGCTACCGAGGGGGGGATATGTGGGTGAGTAAACAGGGTTGTCTCCTCGGGGGTCGGCGGATGACGGTCGGCGATACTGCGTGTATTGACGGTTCGCTCGATTCTATTCCATGTCAATTTAATAGCGTTTGAATACACTGGCAATTGATCGCATCTCGTCAAGTGTGGCAGCAGTTAGTGAGGTGTTGCTTCAGTTTACTTGTAGACCAAACCAATTAGATCCTTCCTCGCTGACTTGTTTGACCAATGGATAGAGTAGTTTCAACTTGTGGGCGGTGCCAGCTGTTTGAAGTCGTCATCCCACTCTGCTGTGATTGGCTGCTGGGTCCCCGGGTCGGTGGCGAGGCCGGCTTCTACCTGTGTTGTAATTACCTCGTTGTCTCTCCACGTTCGCTATTGATTGCCGAATGAGGCGCCTGAATCAGCTTTCATTTCTTGGAGTTAGCGATCAGTTAACTCACAAATAGATCGATACAGTTGGCTTCTCTCTAACTGAAATATTTTTATTGTCAATATATGATGCATTTTTAAATTGAATGCATTTAATTTAGTTTCGGATGTTTTTAATTTTAGAAATCAGGAAATAAATATATTTGTTATTTGATGATATTTTGAGGTTTAAAGGATGACAATGTTATTGATTAAGTGACATCTGTAGATTTGTAATCTTCCCTGTGATTCTGTGCTGTTCTTGTTGGTGGTGGCTGCCATTTTCTTCATCTATTAAGTGTGTAAGGAATCGTCCTTTCACTCAACAATTACATTTCATATCCAAAATGGGAAATGGGATATACAGAATCTCCCATAGTGACTGATTTGCGGATATGGGGATGTGAGGTGGGGTGGTACGGAATGTAAAAAGGGGTCAGAGGTGTGCGTATGTTTACGTGCGTGTGTGTGCGTTTGCGTACTGAACAGATTATGTTGGAATCCATCTTACTACCAAAACCACCAAAAGCAATATGACCATAAGTGATTTTATAAGATCCGTCACGCGGTTCAGTTCCTTATTTGGTGTCATGGGTCAGTCACGTGACACGCAGGTATCTATCCAGACCTTGCAGGCGACAAAATTCTGTACCATGTATCTTTTGTAAACATGATTGTGCCCTCCGATCTCAAATTCCGCCGTGACACATTATAACAGGTTTCAGTTATTTAATGTGTTTAACACTTAAAATTAATAAATTAGATTAAAATTTACGAGAAACGATTTGTCATTGAAGGATCTGGATGATCTCCGGTCTGAGTTTCGATGCTGTGGGACGCAAACAGACGGACACAGACACATCCACAGACACAGGCCCTGACATTTCTGGTGGAATCTAGACATTATTTTCAGTGATTTGTGTCAACTGATTTATTTATTAATTGCAATAATTGCAATAAACATCAAAATTTACAAATTAACTAGGTTTGAAATATTACGTATAAAAGGCAGATGCCATGTATCAACCATAGATTGCCATATTGCCCGAATCTCTAAATTTTTGTGATTTTGTTTGGCGCTAATTAATGCCGCAACTGTCAATGATCAATGAAAGATGAATGTCAATGATCAATGAAAGATGAATGTAGTGTTGAACGTCATGATAAGTGATCTATATATAGTGGAAATACGTATTTAACGATGTCTTCAAATCGGACCACCCGATCGACTTAATTGTCTAGTATGATCAACCATGTATCACTGGAAATAATGTTCTCATCTCAACAAAATAGAAACGTCTTTCCACCTTTATAAATTTACTGTTTATTGCTACTTAAACACAAGTTCCGGATGCTCTACTGTTGGTATGGTGTATCGAATGTATATCTGTATGCTCATATAGCACCGCTTGTAGATTTTCGAGTTTAACAAATTGAAAATGAGAATTGCTCAAAGCTGTTTCAGAAGGTACGTTCTTTTGAATTAATTCAGTCCTTAAGTCATCGAGTGTAAATATAACTGTACACAATATCAAGACATAGGTAGTGATTATTGTCAGGTATGCAGGGCCAATGACGTTGTTCCCATACCCGGGAATATATGGGCAACAATGTCGCGCCACAACAATGACGTTACATTTGTACATGCCACCGTGTAATATCGGGTGCTACTTTAGACACGTTCCCATCGTTTGTGATCAGAAATCTGTCGTGATATGCTCCGTGATGTGTGTGATGATGATCGGGGTCGCTGATAGCCGAGGGTGTAGAATAGCAGGGAGAGCGGGTCTGGCAGAACGACTCTCTATAACGGTAACTGCCTTGACACCTGAGATTTACATTTGGATAATCATCATGGCTCATTGTTTCAGGGACTAATGTAAGTGTGAACGATCTTTGTACACGGAATGGGACTGTTTCGCTTGTATTGAAGCCGTGTATGGCCTCGCCTTTGTGGACGCACGCACATATCAACATTATAACATTTCAGAGAATGCCATTGAGATACAATAAACTTTTCGCCTTCAAAGTTGGGTTAAATGCACGTGCTCTATTGTGAGTCGTTTGTGGCGGTAGCTGCTTATGTTTCTATTGTGCGCCTGTTGACAGAAAAAACATCTGAGTGGCACGCATTCCTGAAACATTTCTCCCGTTTGGACGAGGATATTTGTAATGTACCAGTAACTCGCTCTCTGTAATGGCGTCTGACCGTGACTGAAGGAAGCATGTCGGTTTCTCACACCAACTTAAATAACATCTAAATACATTATTGAACAAAGCGTGTCGTTAAATGTATAGTCACTCGCTTTATCCGCAATCTTGTTCTGTACAAACATTAAAGTTAATGAAACACCACCTATATGAAGAGAATATTGATGACATTCAAGTGTACACAATTATATGTGTTAACCCTGTCTACAATGTAATTATTTCACAATGAAGCAAACATTGCTTTGCTCATGTATATGTTACGGTCTATCAGTAACGTGATTGACTTGCGCAATTTACAAAATGCCTTAATATTTTAGTCATGTGACAAATTGACTAAAACATTATGTTTGCGAGATTGACTGAAATTAGTCAAGAGTGTCAAAGGGGGCTAAAACATTACAGTGGACTAATTAAGCTTAGATTAATAGCCCAGTCCATCCCCAACAACACACCACACACACACACACACACACACACACACACACACACACACACCTAAACAAAATCAAATATATACTGACTTTAATATTCTTATTCCTTTCAGTGACGCTATGATGATATTAAGCATGAATGTGTTGGTAATGGAGGGAATTCGATATTTGATAAAAATAAACTGACAGATTTTTTGCTAATTTGGAAACCGACTAATATGTCTGTAAATATTTCAGTCACATTACAGACTGACAATACCATATAACGATATCCAGCATTTGATCAATCCAATGATTTCTAATTTGTCAAAATCGTTTATTGTTAATAGGGCCCAGTCTCGTTCTAGGTGACAATGTCGTGAGGTAGCTAGTGAGAAGGGATGTGTGAAGCTGTATGGGGCTGTGAGGCCGGCATATGGTCCAGATTGTGGTGGACATTACACCCAGGTGAGACAATGTCTCCTGACAATAGCGGAGAACGGAGGTCACAGGCACACACAAACTGCCGCTGATTGGGATGCATATTTCAAAGCTTGGATTTACCGCGTGGTCTGAGGAAATGGACAAATTGAAGTCAGCATGTACCAATGACGGCTCTGAATGCTTCCTTATGAATTATTATTGGGTAATTTGGCGGCCGTCGTGTACATATGTTGGTAGAGAGGAGAGTGATAAATTGTCGGCGTTTATTTCATCTAGCAATAACTCCGGTGCTGTCTGCAACACCAGCATATGCCGGACACTACCTCGCGTCAGTACACGCCTGTGTTACATCTACTGCCCTCTGACCCGTCACGATCTTATCTTCACTTCACCAAAACATGCACAGACTGTATTACGAACATTTACAAATATCCCTATTGATACACAAACCTACCGGCACTGACATATACCTACATATAAATACGTATTTAGATAATGTACTCATTCAGTATTTTCATATATATGGTCTGGTCGATATCGCTGTGTTGTCTAAACTGCATTTTCTTGATGTGATAATACGGTGCCTAAGCGGCTGTTCCAAGCACCTCCCCTACCAAAGGTAGATGGACAATTTAACGTTATAATCAATACGATTTCAGAAAAGTGTTCCTAGTTTGTCCCCTCTTTGGATCTTCTGGATTATTACATCATTGCTTTCTGTGTGCTGACCCACTCCCGGTATCCTGTCAACCTGACCCCAACAGGAGCTAACATTGTTGTAGTACCAGGGACAGGGTCGTCCACGTAGTCCCCTCGCTGTAAC